GTTAATTCAATATTAACTTAACTTTCGTTAAGTTCATTTTTTATTCCTTCAACTTTTAACTTACATTTATTAATTTTGTAAAGCCATTAACTTTAACTTTATTCAGTGTTAAAAAAAACATTAACTTACCCAACCCTGAAGCGTACCATACTATTTACCTCATGATAGGTGGTGTGGAAATGATAGTATTTTATCATTTTCTTGTGATAGAAATCTACTTAGAAATAGCTTTATAATAAAATTACTTCTATCTATCATAAATATTTTTTTAAATAATTTTTTTAAAAAGTTCTGAAAATTGTTGCCAACATACAGTTTGAAGGGTGAAATTAAGCCTTATGTGTAAAGCGATTTTGAGCTTCCTCCTCTATATCTTAAAAACTGTTTAAGATATACAAAAATGTTTCATACGAAAGTTTTACAATAAAATTACCTCTATTTACACACGCCAATGATATTTTTTGAAAATAATTATTTAACAATTTTTTTTCGAAAATTAAAAAAAAAATTATTTAAAAAAATTATTATTAAAGCGAATAAATACAGCTAATTTTGCTATAAAACTTTTGTATATAACATTTTTTGATATCTCGAATAGTTTTCGATATATAACTGAAAAAGCCGAAAACCACTGTACACTTAAGGGGTGATTTCACCCCTTCAAACCGTTTTTCCGTCGCAATTGATATTTTCTAAATTCATTTCTTTATGTAAGTTACAAGTTCACAAAGTTTCATTAAAATTAAATTTTGACACCTCGAGAGGTTCCCTTGTTAATGAAGGTATTCTTATTTCAATCTAAGTAATCGCAGCTTTAATTCTATGTCAAAAATTATTGCTCTTTCAGAAAAACTAATGTACTAAATGAAAAATTAAAATCCAGATGTCCACATAGTACAAAACTCCGATTAAGTTCTCAGGGAATTCATTTTCCTGAGCTCTCGGGGAGCTTATAAAATTCGATAAATTGAACTCCCAGGGAGTTCAACTTGCTGAGCTTCTAGGGAGCTTACAAATTCAACTAAATAAGATCTCAGTCCAGTCGGCACAAATTGAAAATGTTAGCAGAACCTACCTTTGTTTGGTTTATGCGTGAACGTGTTGAGAAAAAGGATAATAATATCAACTGCGTATTTGCTCTGGTTATAACTTGTATTGCAACGAAAAGATTAATACGATCAATTCAATAGCGACCACATCGATAACGCGATCGATATCCGCGAGTTGCACTTCACGATAGCAGAGTGTCAAATACACATCAAACCCCCCACTTTGATCACTCTGCAATTTGATATAGTCTCAATCTCTCAATATGCTTATTTATTATAGACTGAGGTAGTAGCTTTGTAAAAATGTCAACTACATTATCGCTGGACGATACGTATTTTAATTTAATCAGATCCTCCTCGTGTATCTCTCTAGTAATGTAATAGGCTATGTCAATATATTTTGTATGAGATCTCTTTATTTTATTTCTTTTAAAATCAATTGCTGATTTGTTATTGCATCTAATAACCAAGTAAGAAACATTTTGGAACATTTCAACAACATTGTAGCAACGTTGTAACATTGCTACAATGTTATTGGAATGTTTCAAAATGTTTTTTGGTTATTGGGAACGTATGGGCTACACACACATAGCACGTTCAAACTATTTTTCTGTGCTAATTCTTTGAACATCATGTTCAACCACATAACTTTCTTTACACCCACTTTCAAAACAATATAATCAGCTTCTACAGTAGATGTTGAAATTGACTTTTGTTTATTATATTTCCAAATTACCGAATTCCCATTAACAAAAATTACCTTACCACTATAAGAGTGTCTATCATCTACATCCAATGCCCAATCTGCATCACTACAAATCTCTATGTTATTCGCGCCACAACCGTATACTAAACTACGATTTTTTGTCACAGCTAGGTATCTTAATACTTTCTTAGTTTGTAATCAATGTGCCCTTCCGGAATTGGAACTAAATTTTGACAACTTTGTTACTGCAAACAATACATCTGGTCGTGTCGCCAACGCTACATTAATGAATCGATTAATTGTTTATACGGTGTGTTTTTTATTTCATTTTTTTCAACATCACCATGTGGGCTGTCACACTTTAATTTCACCCCTGAGTCAATCGGTACTTTGTTTGTTTTACAGTAATCCAATTTATATTCACTTAATAACTTATTTATGTATAATTTTTGCGATAATTTTATATCGTTATCGGCTTACTCGATAGTTATTCCTAATAAGTACGACGCTTTACCTAAATCTCTCATTTCGTATCCTGACGATAGCAATGTTATAACTTCGTTTATTTTGTCAATTGATTGAGCAAATAATATAATATCATCTACGTATAGCGTAAAGATTAGATCATTATTATAAGTATAAACACAGTTGTTTGTTTGCAACCTATTAATCTCCTTCTAATTAAGAACTCGTCAATTGTATTATTCCAATTACGTCCTGACTGTTTCAAATCGTATATCGATCTTAAAAGTCTTGCTACTCTTGTGTCGTAATCCCTATGTCCAGGTGACAGTATCATATATATTTCTTCTTTAAGATCTCCGTAGAGATATGCACATTTTATGTCTAAATGATGTATTTCCCAATTGTATGGTGTCATCATAGATATTAATAACCTAATTAATGAAACATTTGCGACGGGAGCATACGATTCCGAATAATCTACATCTTTCTTTTGAGAAAACTCTTGCGCAACTACTTTAGTTCTATATATTACTATCTTGCCTGTCGAATCTGTTTTAACCTTGTAAACCCATTTACTTCCAATACAATTAATGTCATCCGGTTTACTTAATATTTCCCATGTGTTCCTATCATCTAAATCTTTTAATTCTTCGTTCATCGCTGTTTTTCATTCTTCCAATTGTAATATTATTGCTGTTTAGTACAACGATTTAATTTGTATTTAGCGCCTGACGCGAACGCGATTCGCACGGAGTGGAGCGCTGTAATTGGTCGAGTGTAATTAGCCGCTGTAATTAACCGCTCGTGTGGTACCGTAAGGGGCTTCGTACAATAAAAGGAACAAGGAATAGAGAACAGTGAATAAGAATTTCAACCTATCAGAAATCATGTATTGTGGAATACACACTGCGTATCCACAATACATGATTTCTGATAGGTTGAAATTCTTATTCTCTGTTATCTGTTCCCTGTTCCTTTTATTGTGCGGAGCCCCTTAGGCGGTCGCCGTCGTAAGTGCATCTTGCTGGCTAACGCCGCCATTCTGATTCTGTTCCTTGCCGTTGTCACCACGCAAGCAAACCGTACTCTATATCCACGAGCAAATAAATATCTCAATCAAATAGAGAGAAGGACAATGTTAATTCTCAACCACACCCGATCGCGAGAAGATAAAATTCCTCGTATCTATCATTGGATAAATACATACAAAATCATCAGTGTGTATCGTACAAGTTTTTTAGTTCTTCGAGCCGGATCCAGTCATCTTGGATCTACAGCTAACGCATCGGATACAGGCTAAACGGTTACTAGCATTCCTGGTATATCTGCGAGGTCTTTTCGGCGAGATCCAGACTCGCCAGAGGCAGCCGAGTGACAATGATATATCTAACCTACAAGTTTGGGGGTGGCATCCAGTTGGACACGGCTCAATTGGACACGAGCCACTCACAGCGCTTGAGACTACAAAGCTCCTAAGCACCGGTCACTGTGATTGGTGGTGTCCAATCGAGCCGTGATCAATCGGGATCACCCCCAAGTTTGGCGTGGTCTAGTGCCAAGGCAACCCGCCATTTCTTTCGACGCCGACTCACCAACGAGTGCCAGGGCGCATGTGCGTGCGCTACACGCATCATCATCTGGAATCCTATATCCTGAACGAGGCATAGGACTTTAGTCATCGTTGCAAGGAACGGCGAGCAAATCAACATTAACGTCGCCCGGAAAGCAAGCTTGCCTTCGGGAAATCTGTCCAAGGGCGCGAGAAGGCATCTGGTGACCTGCACAAGGATCGCTTGTTGTCATTCTTTCCCGTTGCATTGGGAGAGGGCACCGTCAAGTCAAGATCGTATATAGGTATCGCGCGCTTCGTAGTCAGGTAAGGGTGGCTATCAAGATTAGCTGCCGACCAGAAATATTCATTTATATTGTCAGGCCATTGTCTATTAATTCGAAATGTCCGTCGAAAATCTAGCTGTTCTTAAAAGGTATCGCGGGACCATTACGCGTTGTCTACAATATGCGAAGTAAGCTTGGTTTAAGAAGTAAGAATAGGTCTAAGAAACGTATTTCCGGTTTAAGAGAGCTAGCGTATAGGCGTAAGCCAAATAAATTATTTTTATTTCTTATTACTATTCCAGCGCTTACGTTTACGCTGAGCCAATCAGAGCGCGTCAAGAAGTGTTACAAATACGTTAAAAATTATTATAGTTGGCACCGTTGTAGTTCAACTTAACCATATCGAGTTGTTTGTTGTTTTGTATGCGCGAAATTTTGAAACATTCTCATACATACAAGTAGCAATTTCTTATTAAAAAATTGAATAGTCTCTTATTATTTGTTCATGTCGTCATGGACATATTGAATTTGGATATGGAATATCAAAACGACTCGGAACATGATGAATCAGAAACGCAAATCGTCATATGGAGGACACTGATAAATTTAGTTAAAGCGAATCCTGCATTATACGAAGAAAAGCATAAGGGTTACAATAAAAAAAGTGATAAGCTACTAATGTGGAATCGTATTGGAATATCATTGGAACCACCAATGACAGGTAAATGATCTACTCTAATGTCAAAGAAGAAAATTAGGATTCTTGTATGCATTTCTGTCTAATGTTTTTATATATATGTGTATATATATGTGTATATATGTGTATATTTGCAGGAACTGATGCACAGGAAGAATTTTATCGTTTACGACAAAAGTTTGGGAAAGAGCGTCGCAAAGTTCTGCAATCACAGCCAAAATCCGGTGCAAGTGGAAATGATGTACCATACAAATCAAATTGGATATTATACAATAATCTAATGTTTCTTGTCGATCACATTCAGCCTAGACAGTAATTCTAAAATGATTGTATACTATACAATTGTACCAAGGATATGAAAATTTGTTGCACCGGTTGCTTGGGACAATATCAAACTATCAGCATTCTCTGCTTGTGCATCAAAAAATTTCAAAAATACAAACCTCACAACAACTCTCGATATCACCAGTGCAAGCTTCACAGCAACTCTCAACACTATCATTAAATTCTAATAAGAACTCAGATTTATGAATATCGTTAGAATCTTCGACAGGTAAGAAATGATTATTTGATTGTAAACTTTGTAAAGTATACTGCAAGTGTTATTGTATTTATGGATTGTTTACAATAAAATATATAATAGTCTAATATATTATAGGACCGTATATGTGATAATACAAACTATAGAAAATCAAAGCCTTAAACGGTCTAGCTGGATCTTAATGCTTGTATGATTCTAATGTGAATTTATATACTACGTCTGTAGTCACCAGAAACGCGCGCCGAAATGATTTTTCGGTCTTGAAACGCTAACTCTATTAAACTACCGCAGTAATATCACGAGTTAAATTGACTGGCAATTTAACAAATTTTTGATGCTTATTCGCATCTTCGAGACGATCTTAATAATGATGAATAACATATTAAAATCTGTAAATAATTAATTCTTATTGCAAAAAACTGTATCTGGAATAAATGCTGAAGTTTAAAACATGTTGGGAAGTATAGTTGTGGGATTGAGCAAGGTTTCTGTCGATCGCTAGCTGGATCGTTTGATACATATTCTCTCGTGCATTAATGAATTTGCGAAGAAGTAACATTTTCGTTAATTTTATGTCTTATCATTTACTACAAAAGTTTGTTACGGTTGCTTAGGACAACATCAAACTGTCAGTGTTCTCTGCTCATGGAGCTTACGCTATAATCCTGTTTATAATATAGCGAAGTAAGGAAGTAAGCATAAAAAAACATGGTTGTTGCAGATCATTCAAAAGCGATTAGCTCAAGAAATTTTTGCTAAAATGGATTTAGATCTGTTGATGCAAATGCAATCTTTATGATAATATTGAATCTGTCTGCGTTGCTTGTACTTTTTGATTCCACATAACGTGTAATGTTTATGTAGACGATTCGTGATTCCTTGTTTCGATTCCGCCCGCATTCAACATTTTCTTGGCTTTTTTTTAGTTTATAGGAGTGCTTTTTAGGTGTAAAATTTTTTTGGAATTTTAAGCAACGCAAACAGATCTATCATTTAAAAATACAAATCTTTGTGATATAAAGAGTGCAATGTATAACTCTTTCTATGCATATAATAATACATGTTGACATGTTTCCTAAGTTTAGTTTGATTTTTTATTTTAATACGTAGAGCATTTAATAATGCTTATCATAAATGTATATATTTGTACAGTGCAGGAAACTGCTTTCTAGAACAAATGATTTTTTATTTTAAATAAATTTTATTTTAAATGTGAACCATTTTTCTCGTTACATATGTCATACACGAATGTATATATCACACAATTTCATACGTATACATTAAAATATAACATTATGTATAGCATTAATCTTTAAAGGATTAAGATGTAAAAATAAAGTTACACAGTATCGAACAAGTAACTACATTTCTTATAATATTATACATTGTAATGACTGAAATGATACGAAATGCTTAAATAAAAATAGGAATATCTCTTTTGTAGTTTTTTAATTTGACGAAATGCATGCTTGTAGATGCTAACTTATGTTTCGTTTATATAGACATACCTGTACAGCATATCACTATCTGTATATAGCATATCACTGAAATGACGAGTTGATGTTCGCGATAATGTTGTTCATCAGGGTTTTACAATAAAAAGAAACCGTTAAGTGTTATAACATCTGAATACGATGATTCAACGCTGATAAGCACCTATCGATTCGACTATTATATAAACTCCTAAATATACAAATTATTTCTATCTATCTATATGTATAACTGCCTGACGTATGTATTATATAACAAAAACACTTCCTCCATAAATTATAATACAAAAGTCTAATAAATAAGGTTTGCGCTTATAAACGCTTCTTTATGCGCGATATGCTTATAGTCTCTAAAAAAATAAAACGTAAAATAAATGACATAAATCGTCCTGAAAGGATCGTTTCATCTCTGTTATATGTAACAGTAAATCACATTAATCAATCAAAATAAGATTTAAAAAAGAATTTATGTTTAATAAGAAATAAAAGGAAAGGTAAAACCTCCAGATAAATAAAAATTCTTGTAAATGCTCGTTATCGTTAAAGCTGCAATAAAACAGCCGATCACATTTTATTACACCACTAGTAACATGCGTAATCGCATTCACAGTCATATCTCCATTATTTAAACGGAGCGCGGTAAAACTCTGATAGATATAAAGTTGGATGGTTTTGTATGCGTTAAACAAATGCTATAGTCGATGAGCTATTTTTAAGTACACTTTCGCACGTCGAGAATGCCATTAAAATAAGTGCGACGCGAATTAGTAGTTGGATCGTATACATACTTTAATTTGGCCTCAACAGACATAAGTTTGAAGATAATAATAAAAATTAAGTAAAGGGCATATAAGAGTCAATAATCAGTAAAATTTGAAAGTAAAATAAAGACATATAATATAATTACTCGATATAAATTCTTACAATATCTTGGTGGTATAATGTCTCGATTGTCTAATAATTACATGTTTCGGCTACTTGATCGAGCCATCCTCAGATTCACAAAATATGTAGTCGTAAAACGCAGTAAACGAGTGAATACAAAAACCATGATATGAATATTTAAGTAAGCAATCTCCGATGGATTGTACGTCGATAGACAGAAATTGTTCCCAAACAGTTGGTAGACTGAATGTTGAAATTTCAATCAAACTGTGAAATAATATGAAAAATTGAGAACAATCTAAAAGTTCAAATTTATTATCCTTAAATCGTCAATCAAAGTAAAACTCACCGGAGAAGTCACAATATATGATAAAAATTAAAACGTGTGTCCAATAATGGTCAAGAACTTTTATGGAAAGTCAATCACATATTAAAGCAAACTGGATGACAAGTTTAATGTATGTGAACGTGACAAGAGTCAAGTGACGACTGAACAAATTTAACGCAGTAACCGGTGATGCAAAGTCACATAATGTTTATTATTGGTAAATATGACTTATGAAGACCTATAGTGTCCGTCTGTAGATTTAAACTGTTCTTCTGCTTTTTGATATTAATCATTTCAGAAATTAAACGTTTGCTATAGCACGGTTCTTCGTCAACAATTAAAATGTTATCCCAATCAAAAGTTTAAATTGCAATCTATGTGCAGTTATAACTGAATCAGAAGTTTTCCAATTAATATGATTGCGATGTTCTGCGATTCTCGTTTTAAGTTGTTTTCCGCTCTGGCCAACATAAGACGCATCACAATCCTTACAATTGATTTTGTACACCACATTACTTTTGTTAAATTGTGGGCAAGGATCTTTTTGAGCTTTAATGAATTTTTTTAGTTTATTTGTGCTATAAAACGATACTTTTGTGTCCTTGTTGTTAAATTTATTGAATTTTTCCGTGATGAATGGTATGTATGATACCGTAAACCAAGCTGTTCTTTCAGATAAATCTTTAGTATTTGAAAGTTCTAGTAAGCCTATTTTTTTCTTTAAATGGTATTGAACTCTGTCATTAATCGTACAAAAAATGAAATCCAACGGGTAGTCGTTATCAAATAAAATAATTATTACCGATTTTAAATTATTTGTGTGGTACTTTTCATCCGATATACGAAAACCCTATCTACTAGTCCTATAATAATACTTCTTTTTTGAGATATCGGATGGTTAGAGAAAAAATTAAGATATCTACTGGAACAACTCTGCTTACGATACCAGTCAAACTCTAACGAATTATCAATTTTTTTTATGGTAATATCCAAAAAATTCAAAGTATCGTTTCCGACTTAAATTATGTGTTGCAATCTAGGATGGAAAGAATTAAAACATTCCAAAATATGTTCTATTTGGGTAGCAGAGTCGCTTGACTCTTGTCACGTTCACATACGTTAAACTTGTCATCCAGTTTGCTTTAATATGTGATTGACGTACTTTCCATAAAAGTTCTTGACCATTATTGGACACACGTTTTAATTTTTATTATATATATTCTGACTTCTCCGGTGAGTTTTACTTTGATTAACGATTTAAGGATAATAAATTTGAACTTTTAGATTGTTCTCAATTTTTCATATTATTTCACAGTTTGATTGAAATTTCAACATTCAGTCTACCAACTGTTTGGGAACAATTTCTGTCTATCGACGTACAATCCATCGGAGATTGCTAACTTAAATATTCATATCATGATTTTTGTATTCACTCGTTTGCTGCGTTATACGACTACATATTTTGTGAATCTGAGGATGGCTCGATCAAGTAGTCGAAACATGTAATTATTAGACAATCGAGACATTATACCACCGAGATATTGTAAGAATTTATATTGAGTAATTATATTATATGTCTTCATTTTACTTTTAAATTTTACTGATTATTGACTCTTATATGCCCTTTACTTAATTTTTATTTTCGTTTGATAACAAAATTCTTTATACATATTTATTATTTTTGAAGATAATCTAACTGATCTCACTGTATATCATTGCATTCGATTCTATTCTATTCTCTCTTTAACACTTTATTTCATTCTTCTAGTTTAGTTTATTCTATTCTTCTCTTCTATTCTATTCTTTAACATTCTATTTAATATTCCATTATAATACTAAGTGTACAACTTTGCTTCCGCCGTTTTCCTATAGATGGCTTTAGCGGTAAATGGTGGTCGAAATACCATAAATAGATCATAGACGCCATACAATAAACTTGGGCATCTGTCAACATAATCCCATAAAAACATTAGTCGATTTGTGTCTGCATCATAAAGTTATTCTCGATTGAAAATGTCAGTTTACGAGCCAAATTCTCGTCATTTGCGGGAGGTTTTAATTTTCTGCTTCAA